GTCATGACAACTACTATGCGATACGACTTCGAACTAGGTGCGTTCTACATGGTCTCCCTGAAAACAAGACCAAGTTGTGACAACGAGGTCAACCCACTTCTATCTCATGGTTAGTTTGTGCGAGGTGTTCCGAAATTTATGATCTTTCTGTTCTTTGAAGTTCCTCGATTCGCATGCTAATTATTCACTTTGTTTCGACACTTTATCTCTGTTTGCTGGCACCACATGCTGTGCAGTTGTGGGAACATTTGTGAAGAATGTTGCTTCTTTTGTTGTGCTTACATGAATATTCCACTTTCACAATATTGGCTGTATTCTTTTACTCACTTTTGTGATTCTTTGTCCATCTTTACTTTTCTTTCATAATCGTCGTCCTGTCATCTGGTTTATAACCTTCAGGAATTTTTCCAGTTTTTCTTTTCAATGCGGTCGAAGCGTGAAGTAGCCTTTCAGCTACCGCATGAGTACTTTATATTGTAGCCATGGCATCTTAAAATCCTCTTCCTAACTTGTTCATTTATACGTTGGCTAAAAAAAGGTGAAAGCAGCGATCCCATAGGAAGTCCAAATATTTGTTCATAGATGCTGTCTTTCAATCTAAAGTAGACAATACTTATTGTCAAGTTGATTAGTCGTGGTAACGACTGAGATAAGGATATCCTGGAAGCGGAAAAGATCGGGAAAAAGTCGTTAACATGACTAATTAATCGAAGGTATGAAGACCAAGATGGTGTGACCTTTTGTGTGGTCGCAGTCTTCTTTCGTTGTGTACAAGTTGTTTAACCTTGTTTTCGCAATTTGGTGCTATTGGTAGGAAAACTTAGAGGAACGCACCTAGTCCGGAGTCCATTGTATGCATCATCATTTCCAGAGTAGGATCGTGGACGTGGTACATTCGCAGACGTTTCGCTGGCATCGTCAGTGAGTCTCGTCATTCTTAGCTGCACACAACAACTCGTCAAAGAGACAAGTGAAGCCCATCCTTTGACCAAACAGTTGTGGTATCCCCTCTTCTGCCCTGGAATATTCACATTTCCCATATCCTCCTATCACACCTTCACTGTCACAATGTGTACTGTGCTTATTTCCATGTAGTGTTGTGTGTCCTTTTGAGCGGCCTCCATGTAAACTATTCATACTCCACACCAGCTTTCTCACCCCACTTTATCCGTGTGCTGGGAATGTTGTCCACAGTCTGCCACATTGTCACGCAGTCCTCGTTCTCTAAGTCCTATCAGAGTCTCCCTCTTGCCCC